GAGTTCATATACTCAGTAAAGAAAACAGTAGTAAATTAATATCATAAGATTTCACAAGTTAATTATTTTGACTTAAGAGCTTACCATTTAACCTCCTCGTTTACCAATCTCACATTTAATTTTCATAGTCTGAATAGTTCATGGGAGGCTCCAACACCCAAAACTCCTACTTCATAATCCGAACATGAGGTGAAAGAGTCTTTAATACGAAAGAAAGCGAAACATTTGACAACGGTCTACGAAAAAGAATATCTGGCTGAAGTTCGAACTATTTCAAATTCAGTGAAGGAAATATTAACAATTTCAAAAGTGTCTGTTTCAGCAGAAGAGCTATATTAAGAGGTTTCTCGTATCGGATTAGATCCCTTTCTAGAAACAAAAGCTTTTATGTTGCTTATGGACAAACCAAACATGGCTAAAGCTTTAATGACTTGTCCTCTTGATCGACATAGTTTTTTATGACCAATTTGCTTAATTTACCAGGTAATGACTAATATCACATCTCAAGTTTGAATATTTTGTACTTGTTATTTTGTTGATTTTGATTTTTTACTTTCTTCGAATTTTCAGATAATTGAAAATGGAGGTTGTTGTCGTCGAAATGCAAGGCTATATTATGGTTTTAGGAACCTTTGTCAAACTGATGTTAGATCTTTAATGGCTGAATCTTATTATTTTGATGGGCTAATTTATGTTTTAGATTGATTAATTTATGTTAAATGGACTAATTTCTTCTATCTTTTTTGTTTGTTTGTGGACAGTATTTTATATTTTTGAAACATTTTTGATTTATTGTGATATTTATTTAATTTTCAAGTAATTTAGTAAAAGAATATAAATATTTTTTTATTATTGAATATAAATACGAAATATCTACATATGTATATATGTACTATATATTTTTGTTAAAAAGTAAATTTAGAAGTTTGAAACTAATAAAAAAAATATTATTGCACACATGGAATTTGATAATTAATTTTTTAAACAATATTAATTAATAAATTAAGTTATAATATATGATTATTTTAAATATATTTTAATTTTTTATTTATTAAAATAATTTTAAATTTAATATAATAATATCTAATTATAATAATTTATTGTTAATATATAAATAATTTTATTTTTATTAAAATTAAATTATTGTAATAATATAAATAATTATTATTTATTTTATTAAACATAAAATTTAAATTTAATTATACATAATAATTATTTATTTAAATAAAAATATAATTATATTAGTAAATAATTTTTTTTCATTAAATATTTTTTTTATACTATTTAGTATTACATATAATAAATAAAAATAAATTAATAATTTAATTAAAAATATAATTATACTATTCTATCATCTAAATAAAAATATTATTAACATACATTAATATATTATTATTTAAATATAAAAAATTTTATTATTTTAATTCTGTATTATTATTATTGTTATATATTAATTATTCATCACTTTAACTTATCTAAATGGGACTGCTTCGGACTCTCCCCGTTTTGATAACTTGAGTATCATTAAGATAGCCCTTTTATTTGATTATTTTTCATTTTCTTTCCTCGCATTCCACAAACTTTACTGGTTGACCGGTTCTGTTCGACGATGGTTCGAATGTGTTCGTGAATTGCGTCTCTGAAACGAATCTGCGTTTCAACTAGACGTGTGCGTTTTGAAGTTCCAAGATCCAACCTTTTGGGTCCTTTTTTTACTTCTCTGGACGAGGTAATCATCCCCAGCTCTTCAAGCTTTATGTAATTTATGCTAATTTAGACCCTCGATGTTCTTAGTTTAATTTTTATTGCACTCTTTAAGAGCTGGCTCTTGGTTTTGCTTTGCCACAAGCATTATCGGACAGGAGAGAGCCATAACAATTCATTATTTTCTTCTTGTCCTGCCCGAGGCAATTCTGATGGTAGTTGATTGGTCACTGGAACAAAACGCAGAAGCAATATCCTGCCAACTGAGCGGTTAATCGTGTTCCCTTTGATTTTTGAAGGACTTTATTTTTGGTTGGTGTTAATGGCTTCGAGGGTTCAATAAGATGATAAACAGTCTCGGGGGTGACATTTGATATTATACGATGTGTTTCTCTTTATCACTTTAAAATAACTAAGGCTATTGATAAATTCAGAAATTGATGGAAGGAGATGGCAGTCTTTAAAGGCGCCAAGATGGTCAGAATTACATAAAAAAGCTAAAAGAAATATTGATCTGAAACTTGGATAGTCTGATGCTGAAGTCATTAGTATCTTAAAGAAGAAATTTAAACAGATAGAGAGGTTTTTGGGAACTTAATGCTGAAACTTTACATTCCCTTTTTTTTTTTTATTTATAAGCGGCTGAATTGTTTGTTTGAATGCCTATAGGAATAGAGAGAATGGTGTATTAAAAAATATTATGCTGTTAGTGAACTACGTGAAAGGATGACTTATTGCTCATATTGTAATGTGACACATCTAATTAAGTGTCCTACTAGTTGGTTTAGCTAACTTGATATGCATAGGTGGATAGATGGTGTTTAATAATGGTCTTTTACAATACTAGATGTCCTCTCTCTCCAATTAACCTAGAATAAGGGTACAGGAGGATGAA